ATCATGTCGTGAGCTTCGACGATGGCCTCGTCAGGTAATCCGTGTTTGTCTGCAGTCATGGTTGAAGATGTTTCTGATGTTGGTTGATGATAATTGATGTTTGTTTCGATGTGCTCAATTGTTCTGTGGATTGTGTGATGCTGAAACCTGAGTCAAGACTTCAAATACAAAGGGAGAGTTGGCAATCTATATAATTGGGACGGTTTCCTAGACAGGCCATCCATCTCATGATGTCTCGTGACACCATGACTTCATGTTCGATGTCAGGCGTGCGACGTACGCGAGTAAGACCAGCATCCCATCGACAAGCTCTCGAGGTGTATTCGCTCGAAAGTTCGAGCATTCGCTCATCGGACGTCATACGCTGTCGATCCACCCTCGTTCGTCTGGGGTAAAATGCGGAGGACGCGAAGGAGGGCCAATCTCCAACACTCCACCATCGCCGCCTCCAACGTTAGATCTACAAACATCGATTGAGAATGTTAGCTTAAATTGCCAGCTCCGTCATATGTAACCTTGCTAGACCCTGAACAGAGGACAACATGACGGAGCCGTCAATTGGGGTAGCTCTGGTGAGCCGTTGCTCTTTGTTGCTCAGCCTAGACCCTTGAGCTTGGCGTGGAATTGAAAGCCGCACTAGAACGTTCTCTAGATGTAGGCAAATGACTAACATACTGCCTTATCATTCGTCAATTGCCGAAGGAAACACTTCCACACATACTTCGTTAGTGGACCTACCTACGCTATCTTCCATGTCAGCCATGTCCCTAATCCTTACCTGAATTATCTGCCTAGGAAGAAACAGAGTAGGCCACGCATCGAATCATGACAGGACGGAAGGAAGCGGGATGGAACATCACGTGATGCAATAAGATTGGCGCAGAGTCAGTGTCTCGTTCAGCTGATAGCACGTCCTATGCCAACCCCCTACTATTTGGGGATTAGTGGGCGGTTTCATCCGTGATTTACTGGTGCGGGCACGCATTTGATGGGACAGTGTATCCGACCACCACATGATACTGATAATGAAGCGCTGTCATATCGCACTACCGGCCTCGACGGTTCACTGATCATCCGCTAGTACCTTGCCGGGCCTTTAGCCAAGGAAAAATCCAATGTCACGCCTCAGCCGTGGATGTTTGAGATGTCGCCAACGACGGGTTAAGTGCGACCAAGGACGACCTTCATGTCAGCGATGCGTCAAGCGTAACGAAATATGTGAAGGCTATCGCGATGACGCCACTATTGTGTTTCGTTATGAGACGGAAAAGGTAATTAAACACGCGAATGCAGCTGCGCTAGTCTTGCCGTCCACCACGTCGCCGAGAACATCTAGGCGGAGAAGCCGGTCCGCCGATAATAGGTCGAACTCGAGTCGGCTATCTACCGCGCTTGTCGATCCATCCGATCTCACGGAGCAAGAATCTGGTAGTGTTGAGCTGTTGCAGCCGTTTCCATGGGCAAAGACTGTACCGGCCCATTTGCGACCCGCTCCCGAAGATGAGGCAGTCGATCGCTTCATGGATAAGTACGTCATCTACCCATGTAACGAGACGTCTTCCTCTGGTTTCCTTGAGCACCTTCCAGGCTTGTTTAAAGATGTGAATGTCGAAGGCCGGTTCGCACTACGCTGGGCTGTCCGAGCTGCAGCTTATGCCGATCTATCCAAGGCCCAGGATAATACTGCACTGGCTAGCAAAGCCTTCCATTGCTATGGAATGGCGCTTTCAGCACTGGGCGAATCCTTATCAGCGCCAGGTAAGGTCCCCGATGACTACGACCTCATGACTGCGGTTATGTTGGATATCTTTGAGGTAGGCCCAAGGAATCATTTAGTTGTCTATCGCGTGTGCTAAACATGAAGACTTTCTTCGTCGAAAATTCTACCATGAAGGGAGCCCACGCCCAAGGAATGGCGCAAATATTGAGGTTGCGGGGTTCAGATCAGATATACAACCCTCGCGGATGGAGTCTGTTCAGATTGGCTCACCACAGAATTGTGAGTTGAACTTAGATAGCTACATCGTATTCTGCTCATAGAATCGTAGCAAAAGCAACAACTGGCGTTCAATATGAAGCTCCTTGACGGGACGGCGCATTGGATTAATCAGTTAAATGACGATACGCCTTCCGCCCGTTTAGAGAAGGATGCTCTTCGGATTAACCAAACGTGCGAACGAGCGAGAAATCTACAGGAGGCCATAGCCAGCGGCAAGTTGTCTATTTACGAAGTTCTTGAGATGGTGCATGAGCTTGTTAAGCTAGACGAGGAAGTCGCTAGCTGGAGGGAAAAACCTGAATGGTCCTTTAAGACTCTGAACGTGTCTGACTTACCTGAGTTCGACCCTTCAGTACGACCACTGACGGTTACAGTTCAGATCCACCCAGATCTTTGGCTGGCGTATGAATGGAACTATCACCGCACGGCGCGGAGTATTGGCTACCAGCAGCTATTAAACTGTCTGAACACTGCAATGGGATCACCCGACCTAGATGATTTGACAAGAGAGAGTCTCCGAGTCCTCATTGAGCAATTCACCGAAACAATCCGCTTACTCGCCGATGAGGTACTTTCGACTGTGCCCCAGTCCCTTGGCGATATTGACCGCTTGGGCCGTTTACATGACCATGCCGCCGGTCCTCCACGGTGCCGGGGCATTGGGTCCTACCTCCTACTTTGGCCTATCAAGATGATTAAAGGGGTGCAACTCTCGACTACGCCAGAGCAAAAGCGGAGCGGTCAGATGGTTTTTGAACGGATTCGAGAGTACACCGGAATGAAGTCTCATCTTGGCCCTCTGAGCGTCATATAAACTAAACATTTAATGGATTAAGGCCAAGTCACTGCACTGGAAATTCTGAATCTAGAGAATCAACGTTGTGAGAGTCAAGGTGTAAGTATAAGCGCAAAGGTTCGATATCTAATCTACCTCCCTGGTAGGTACATAGGGGAAACCCCAACACTACCTAGTGTCTGAGGAATCGGATTTCCATAGGTAAATACACTATTTCTTGAAGACGGTCTCCTCCAGCTCCTGCCCATCCGCCAGCTTGATCTTCTCCGACCCGACCATGACGAACGCGATCCGGCAGACCTCGTCCGTCCGATTGTGCCAAGCATGGTTGACTCCCTGCTGGACGATGACATCGCCCGCTTTGACGGTCTTTTCCTCACCGCCGTCTAACTCGAGCACGATTTCGCCCGACAGCACAACGGCGTAGTCGAGGCTGAGGGTGCGGTGCATCGGCGCGCTATGACGAGGCGCCATGTTCGTGATGCAGAAGGTGATTCCCGTCTGGGGAACGCGGGGTAGCGTCTTCTGCAGATCCTTGGGCTCCTCTTGGTTATTGACGGGCACCGACGGGCGCGCGTCGAAAACGTTGAAGGAGCTCCTGGTCGGCCCAAACGGCGAGAAGGGCTCCACTACGCGGTCCGAGTGGAAGACGGACGTTCCGTCCTCTTTGTGGGTCGTGACGATGACGCGGGCGCCGGTTTGAAGAGCGTTGTTGGAACTCATGTTGGATATGTAGTGGGATGGATTTTTCTTGGTAGGACTATGATAGGCCAAAGGTAGATGATTGGTTAAAGATGTATGAAATTCTGAAAATGTTGATAATCTGTCTTAGTCAGACGAAGTTGCGAGTGTTCTGAGATGGAGATTTCTATGGACGAAACCAACTTGTCCTTTCTGTAGAGCAAAGTCGGGAATGAGTCTATGATGATAGTTGCAAGAAATCAAGTCGAATACAACGATTCTTACAGCTATTTATACACGAAGTCTACTCAGATTTACTGGTTGATGTCTGCCAGGGTAATGTCTGAAGCCATATCGAAAGTAGATACCTCGCAGCGCTAACCGGATTTAGTAACTGACACGAAATGAGCGGATGCGCAGCTCAACCCCGCAGCGATGGTAGGATTAGATGGACGATAAGCCCTCCAGGGGTTTGCATCTCGATCCTTGGAGGATCGTGTAACATATCTACTCTGTTGGCTTACCTCAGCCTCGGGTCGCTTTCCCTACTCGCAGCCGACGTGGTACATGCTTACAGCTTCACTCCTTTCATGCTACTTCGCCTCAGATCTTGCGTAATCCATCGAAGTTACAGCCCGAGCCCTTACTTCAATGGCAGATAAGTGCGGATACGGCCGAGGATGGACAGTGAACCCCTGAAGGCTTTAACGAAACCCGGGGAAACGGTCTTGTGTATCCTAGCATACTGCTGGCTTTTAGTATTCCTTCATTAAGATCTTGGTCAGACTGCGGATGGTTAGGTAGTGGAACTTTTAGGATGTCGCATAGAGTTGTTTGTTTTCTACAGCCGCAAACAATGGAAGTGTGAATTAGTTAAGTGTTTATCTTGTCGCGTGCTCTGCTGGCGATGCACTTAAGTTGACACAATTGAGTCTTATATCTATCTCAACTTCTTGCAACCCATCGAAAAATAGCCGTATGGTTGAACACGGTATTTCCTTGCCATCCGGGAATTTGATTTTGGCGGGGTTTTGTGGTTGGTTGGTCTATTTAGTTGAGAGTGCTTAGAACCCCAATCGTAAGCAGCCTGGGCAACTCAAGGAACGGGGACGAACTGATCGCCCTTTTGTGCCTGACTTACATGCTTCCTTCAATACATATTTCGAGGTAGTTTTGACGTAATGCTTGTAGCTTTGTGGTGAAACCACGTGATATAAGATGTAGGTAGTTCCTAAGCCAGAGCTAAGGAAAGCTGAATGTTTGATCCGGCAGCCAGAGTCAGATATTCCTTGGCCTGTATCTCTATCCTTGAATAAATAAAGAATAATATCAATAGGACTCATGCCATCCAACAAGTTTGAACCGCGATATTAATCATGAGAATCTTTTACTTACCTTCTCAACTCATACCTCAGCGATATTCTCGTTAGAATTGGTGGGGTAGTGGGGCTAATCACACATTAGCTCACTGTCAAATTCGTGTGTGAGCTATAATATTCTTGAGCCGATTCACCAATCGTTCGAGCCCTTATAGCTCAGTGGTAGAGCGCGACACTCGTATCACGTGACTCTCCATGTGAGGAATGTCGAGGTCCATCGTTCAATCCGGTGTGGGGGCATTGATCATATTTTTTTTTGCCGATATTGGTCTGATCCAGCACTATGCTTTTTTATTTTCCAACTGTAACACCCACTATCTTCCAAATCTACCTGCCAGAGATCATGGCATACATATAAATACCAGCCCTCTCTTTATGTAATCTAAAGCTCTAACCGCAAGAGGGATCGAAATTCCACCTGTCAACCTTTCAAGAGCCTCATAACTCGATTCCCGATAGCATCTCTCCAAAAACAAGATTATCATATATCTAGTAAGGTACCTAGCTGAACAGAAGCCCATACCAAACGATGGGGGCAAATGGAACTTGGCAAAAATAAATCTACCGAGGTACATAGTGAATTAGTACGGTTTGTCTGGATAGGTACAAACGTAATCCGTCCTCAGGGGTCAGTCAGGAGAAAAGCCGCTCCCAATCTTATAAGTCCTTATTGCGAATTATTTTAATGGCATTACGATCCTTTACATCATTCATACAATGTAGCTGACATTTGAATAGAGAGCTTTTCTCTTTCTTTTGCGGAAAGTTTGATTAACATTAACGAATACGGTATTGGTGATTATATACACGAAACTCAAAGCCATTGAGCATTATTGTGTCCAACACATCTGAATCACACTGTTTCCCATAACTCCTGCGCACTAATAGACAGAGTGGCGGCGCCTTCACCAAAGAGAGCCTGTTCACTACCAGTTTGTGTCTGGCTTCCAATTCATGTTGATCCAATTCATCGTCACCTCTTGGTCGGCGACAAGTAGAAGTAAAGGTGAGAATTGTCATCGCTGTCCTTGTGGTAGCTATTCAGTGTTCTCTCGCTTAATTCGCCTTGTCGTTTCATGGCGTCGACTCTGCGCCCCCTGCATACTCTCCTTTCGGCGTGACTCGGATCGTTGGTCAAGGTCGCAGATCGCTTGCTTGATGCTCTCTATGGATTTCTCGCGACTGTCGCCCGATTCAACTTGGCGATGGTTGAGATCTCGCCCAGTATCCATGTGGCGAGATTGAGGGGGCAAGATGGGGGCATGAGTGGCAATACGCCAGAGGTCTTCCCGAAACTGCACCGTCGGGGGTCGAGGAGGCAAGCTGCGATGTCCAAGCGGCAGGACGCCCGCCAGAGAAGATGAAGCAGATGACGGAACTGTTCCAGGTCGCATAGGGGGTAGCCCAGAGGGCCGGGGTGGTAGCCTAGTGTCTCGATGAGGCTGAATACGGGGCTGATGGAGGGCGTCAACCGGACGAGCAGGTAATAAAGGCGGAGCTTGCTGAGCAGGGAAGCGACGGGGTTCATCTACAATGTGGACAATTAGTACATGAGACTGTCGCAAGTTGCTTCTGTAGATAGGACTTAGCGTAGCGGGTTATCCTATAATTATTGCTCACCTTTGACTCGCTTGGCGCGTCGTCCCTTTCTGGGTTGGTCTGCCATTTTCTACGAGCTGATGATGGCCGATCGTATGTTGAGCAGTTCTTGTAATGATGGTAGCGTAGCGGACAGTTAGGGAAAACAATGTCTATAGACGGTAAAGAATAGTTTAAGGAGGAGTACTAGAAGACAGAACGGGATTTGTAATTGAAGTTCTGAGGTCGAATTTCATGTTGATTCACGAGCAACAGATGGGCATATGTGGCAGGAGCCTGATCAAAGCTGCTGTAAGCCTGGTCTTTAAATACTGTTTTACCCACATTCACGCATTGCACGGTTCACTGTGCGGATTGACGAGCGGCTGTGAGTGTGGTCCATTGAGCAGAGCTAACCGTCAAGCACTCTATGAGTGGAGCGTCAAGTACTTCCTTAGGTATGAATCGAAAGATTACCGGAACACCGTGAGGCAATTCCGGGGCAGTTGCCGCAACACTACAATCACCTGCCGCTCCCCTTCCGGGAGATACACCTGACTGCCGGGCTCCACAGGTAGGCAGATGACTTAGGGTGTTTCTCATTTGGGTTGATTCCATAGGGAGATTATCTTAGGTTAGGTATTAATGTGAATCGGGCACTTGCCGTAAATGCATCCTTTAGGTAGGTAAAAGAATATAGAGTGCCTCGTTAAGCTTGTCTTCGCTAAGCGTGAAATAGAAGTCGCCTTTTTCGTTCTGGTCTAAGATAGGGGCCGCAATAGTGGTCATAGATACCACAACAGGACTGGCTGGTCAACAATAACCATCTTTCCCAGTCCTAAATATAATTAAGGGGCTATCATTTCCTATACGTTGATGGTTTCTGCTATGGACATTAGAAATAGGTTTCTTGATCCCCTTTTTTTTTGGTTATGAAATTACAAGATTGCCGGATTACAAGGCTATAGGGCTACAGGTCTGCAAGGCTACAAAGCTACAAAACTAAAGGTTGATGTATGATTCACCCTAGAAACCCGGGAAATAGGTGATATTTAGAAAGATGTGAAGATTTGGAAGACCTGGAGGACTTAGAACACTCAAGGAATTTGAGAAACAAGGGGAAGGAGAAAAGGCTGGATTGAAAAGGGGGAGGGTACCTGAATATAAATCGAGTAATTACACAGATACACATATCACATACAACAATAACAATAATAATAACAGCCAAAAAGAATCTTTCAAAGCGATCATTCCCAGGATAATGATTTGTCACAGGGTATATATGCGCTATCTGGCTGCTCGCAGATAGCGGTATCGCTTTTGCGACATGATTGCAATTAATAAATATGTAAAGACGATTATTAAAAATACACTTGTATTTCGCTCTAGTGTTTTGTCGCTGTGAGCAACGTACTCTGCTTACGCGACAACATCTAGGAGATACATATGTGTACCTAATCCCCCGACTTTATAGAGGTATCTACACCAAACCTGATATCTAATACTATCTTCATGTGCCCAGTGAATCTTACCAGGAACGTGCGGATATGGCCTGCCCTTTGGCGACTCACTGCAGAAAACTTTCGTTCTTCCAGGTCACAAACTTTTCCATTCTACATGCAGCATTTCTTTCCATCGCATTTGGTATATATTATACCACATCCTTGTACTCAGGTAAGACGCTCGTGAGCCCGAAGATAGGATGTGACTAAGTCTACCCAGGTCTATCGAGAAGGAAAAGGTTCCAATTGAATTTTAACTTAGGTACCCCTATTCAGAGCTACTTAACACAAACCTCCGCGTCTTCTCAACCGAACGGCTCAATATATGCTTCCCATGTTATTGTGACTGCCTCGTTTCGTCAGATACCGAGTAACTGGTTTAAAGGCAGCTCGTCATGTTCTAGTGATGTCTAGGTAGGATCAACTCAATGCCGCAAGCAGGCCGCCGGATTATGGAGAGTTTACAACGATGCTATGAAACTAGTGCCATGAGAATAGGCGAGATATCCAAGAACTTGAACTCCGTTACCTTCCAAATGAGGTCCATGAGACAACCCGTTAGAACCGCCCAGATGGAATGTGTAACTCATCGAGGAGAAGGCTCATTGTAGAATGAGACCTCCGGGAACTCAGGAGACGCGCCATTCAATATCGACGAATCTTTGCCAAGCAGTGTGAGATCAAAGAAAGCCTTGACATAAGCGTTCAAGACTCGGACCTGCTCGAGGCCATTGATTGACCCTGCATTGGGATCAGCCCCGCTCTCGAGAGTCTTCCAGAATGTGTCATCGCAGAAATCATGATGCGTTGTTCCATTGATTGAGATCTCCCTTTGATACCCAGTTTGCCAGAGTGGGAATGTCGCCCACGAGCGGTCCGATCCATCTCCGCTTTCGTGGCCCTCGCTTCCCACGAGGAAGGTCGGTTTCCGCTCGTCGGCGATGCTGCTGTTCGATGCTGGGTCCCCAAACAGGGTGCCATCTAGGTTTAGTCCAGAGACGAGGAGCCCGTTCCGCTGTAGCGAACCGAATGCTGCCGCGCCGCCTAGAGAGTATCCGAAGGCACCAAGATGGGTAGTGTTGAACGGTAGATCAAACTTCCGTACTAGCTCGATAAAGTGCTGGTCTAGGAACACAGAATTGTCCTCGAGGCGCATCTCATAGATGGCTGTAATCAACTCAGATGAGCTATAGTCGATGACGACACCATTAACACCGGTGCCATTCGGGTACTGAATGTAAGGTTGCTCGAACGGATGGTCCAGTCCTATTACAACGTAGCCATACGATGCTAACTCCGATAGCAGTATTGTGTTACCTTCAACAGGTGGGCCTCCACCGCCGGGTCCGAATAGAATAGTAGGATAAGGAGATCCCTTCCCTTCCCCTTCTACTGGAAGTCCTCCTTTATATTCCAAGAATGGAGCATTTTGTTGCACAGTTGAGGTGAGCGATGAGAGGGTTCCGGTACTATAGTTCCAGGATTGTTCGAATAATGCCGCTGTCTCAGGATTAAGATAGGGTTTAAGGCCTTGCGGTTGCTGCGGAGTCGGGTAAAAAACGGTAGCCAAGAATGCTGTGCTTAGATTGTTCGGTGCGACAGGGTCGTGGTCATTCAAGTGCTCAATAGTGTATTTGCGAACGCCCACCTGGTACGGACCCGTAGGGGGCGGAATCGAAATAGCGCCAGCGAGGTTCGATGATAAGAGAATTGTCAAGGCCAAAGTAGTTATTCTGAGGCAGCATTCTATTCTGAAACGGATGTAACTAGACTCCATTGTCAAACTTGGCGTAGAACAACTGAAGTCGGTATGAGTTTGGTGAGAAGCTGAGGGGTAATGTGACTGTGAGAAGTCGTTGCATGCGTGAACTCGGGGTTTTAAATAATATTATCATGTTGTGTAGTGCCATCAGGATCCTACCATGTAGGATTCGCGAATTAGGTCCATTCCTAGAAGTTACAGAGCCGCCGCACCTATACATTCTGCAGCCTACCGCAATTGTGTTAGTACAAAGGTTAGCCGTAGTAAGCTGTAGGAGATAGCACAGCATTCAAATTATCGACGACACCTTTATTATTTGCTACTTTCAAGATATGGTGAAAACTAAATCATGTTCTAAAGAAAAGGTTTAGCATTGGGTTCGAACCGGATCTACTATC